GGTGCAGGAAGAAATACTGGAGCTGATAGACTCAACGTTTTAATGAATGACCGGTTTCAAGAACAAGGCATGTATCTGGTAGAGGTATCAAATAACGAAACTGTACGACACAGATCGCGAACAATATTGCAAGATGACACCAGGTGTTTTGACATCCCCGAGCACCTCTAACTTCAGGGCGGAATCTAACGCCATGATTAGGAAATGCCGCGGTTAAGTTAGCACGGAATACAGTGATACGCGCTGTACTCGTTACACTGGTTTTATATATTGTCTTTTGTTGCTAATAAAATGAGTACAATGTCACAACATTACGAACAAAACAGTTTCGCGATTACAAATTTAGTCGGCACAGGGATTGAACAATCTATTGAAGGTCGTATCAAGATCAAATTATCAGTACCGCTGTATTCAGGAGAATTATTCCGCATTACGTCCACGAAATAAATTTGGTGGTGAAGCATTTATAGCAATAAACTGACAAGGTGACACGCCAATACCCATTTTGAAATGTTGGTTGATCACTAGCCCCTCAATGTTTTGACTTCCACCGAATATTTCGGCCCCTTTGCGTATACGTCGAAACTAGGCCGGGTCCCACCAATACACATTGAATATTGAAATTTTGATTCAACATATCAATTTTCAATTTAGATTTGTACGCTATACACTCGGCAAAGTTGAATTCATCACATATTGTGATATGTTCAGGGGGATGATCGTAAATAAATAATAAATGGTGTATTATGTACCGCAGCTAATATAATTTTCTATAACGTATTTTGTATTTCAATTCGACAAATGCGCATTTGAAAATTTGGGTAAAATTCAATTTCCGTTGTCGTTTTCAATATTGAGAAATGATTTTTTGGCATAATCATATTTACTTTATGTGCCATGTATTTTATATAATGAATGGCCGCCAGGTATCACGGATTGTCCAAATCAAAAAAAAAAATCAAATCAAAATTTGATTCTATATAATCTGTATATTCTAAGATTTTTCCTTGGATTGTGTACCTTGGTTACAGTCATTCAATTGTTATCCCATGACTCAATGTGTGTGGACGCAGCCCGAAAAGGGGGACTTACGTTTTGACCTTTGTGCGTCCGTGCGTCCGGACATGTATCTTAGACATGCCTAGACCAATCTCAATCAAACTTAACACATACATCGTACATGATTATACATATGCAATTCAATTTGTTCCACGATCTGATTCAAGGTGGCCGAATGGTAGCCATTTTTGTGCTAAAAAATCATAAAAAATCTAGCATTTCTCATATTCCAGAACTCGGGATCTTGGCGTTTACGAATGAATTTTTTTCAAACTTGGTACATACATTGAGAATATGGGTTCCTGATGCAAGTCATTTCATTTTTCAGATCGGATTCAAAATGGCTGACTGGCGGCCATTTTGTTTAAATGATTGCGCTTTTGAGCCATATCTCTGATATGCTTTGATTGATTATATTCAAATTTTATATATTCATTATACATCATTATACAAGATGTCAATCATTTTGATATTAAAAAATCATCATAATCAAGCATCATCTTCTGGATCCATACTTCTGACATGTTTATGTTCCAACTATGTTACTATAAACAAAACTATATATCTTAAATTTGATAACTAACGGGGACTGTGCAATGCATGGCTTGGTAATTTTATTTTCATTAGTG